CTGTCTGCATAATTCAAACCAAAAACCATGAAATCTTGGAAAATGAAATCTTGGGTGCATAGTTTACAATGGTGCACAAGGCCATAAAACATTGTAGAATTGAAAAGAATCTCATAATTCTTTTGGTCTTCAGCAGTTAGATGGGTAAACCCGCTTTTGTTCTAATGAATCACCTGTTCTCGTTAATATACGTGATACGGGCGTTTCCATGCTTATAAAAGTCAGGCAGGGCACGTCCTAGCCTAAAAATTTGAAGGCCGAATCTTTCGAGCATCACCTTCCCAAAACAACGAACTACGCAATTAATGTTTAAGTGAAACCGAAAAGCATTTTGTGACCTGCGTTTCGCTGAGACGAAGTGTTGATGCCAGATGTGCTCGCTCCTGACTGGAAAGGTAACGCTTCATATCAAAAGTCATTTCCAGCTGCGATACTTGCTGACGGCTAAATACTGTACGTGTTTTCTTTTTACGTGGTATGGATCCAGTAACCAATACACTGTTTTCGTCATCACTGGCATGCACGGGATCATCATCGTCATCATCATCACAGTCGCTTCCTACTGGTGACTCACCGACTGGTTCTGTCATCGTTCCGGAAGAATTTGCTCGTTTTAGATGCTGGTCAGAAGCCTAAAACAGGAAATCCTGGGCTAAACTTTGAAAAAGAATTTTAGACTTTAAACTAAGCCCTAAAAATTTATTTTCTCTGGATCGCAAAGAATCATTATCTATTTTCCAGGGCAATTAGAAAAACTCGGCTCGGCTCGTCTCATAAACGAGCCGCAAAAAATTTCTCCTGACGCAGGTAAGGCTGCTCCACGGTGGATGGCGGCAGTTTGAATGCGGCGGGTTTCGTTCGAGGCATTGGAGGGGGGCTAGGATAGATGGATGTAAGGACTAAATGGCGAAGATCATTTGCCGATTGACAAAGTAACGTACATTTGAGGGAGGAGGGGAGCGGTAAAGAATGGAAGGGATGGGGAAGTATGCTCCTGGGACTTTCTTTTTTATAAAACTTAGATAAAGTTGTTAGGTAAATTAGGTAAAGCTGTTCCACAAAAATTCGCCATTAGGTTTCTTTGTTTATGAAACTGATGCTTAGGAAAAGCTATTCCACATAAACCCGTTATTAAGCTTCCCTATTTATAAAACTGATGCTTAGGCAAAGCTGAAAGCTAATTAGTCCCGTGAAGTGGGCAAAAACAGGGTAAAATGGATGTCTGGGGATGAAGTCAGCCTCTGCACCTGTGAAATTTTGAAGACAAAAAACAAAAGTATAACTGTTGTGCACAGTTGCAGGCTACAAGAGGCAACACTGTGGAATTGTCTGCAATTCTCACGTAATCCAATTGGACTTATTTGCCATTA